GATTTTGACATTTTCTGTGAGAATTTCTCTTGGGAAATAAATAATTTTCTTGAGAAAGATATCTTAATATATTGCATGAAAGTAAGAGGCAAGATCCTAGTGGCATAGTTTGGAAGAACATAATGAAACAAAGAGACAAGCAAACTATCTGCTTAAGAAATAAAAAATAATTTATATGAAAAGAGAGTGAAGAGAAGAAGCAGCACCATGTGTGTGGAGAGAAGCAGCTGGTGAGAAATTCCTGGCCATGGGTTGGCTGAAGGGCTTCTGAAAGCAGGGAGCTCCTAAAGACCACTTTTAAATTGGTTGCATTGCTGTATGCAAATTCCTTTTGTCTTCCCTGTCAGTGGGGAGGATGCTACAAACAAAGAACAACTTTTATAAGTGAGGTTTTCTTTTTGAGGGGATAGGGTGGTGAGAAGAAATTAAAGAGTCTTGAGATTTGTGTCTAGTGTAGAACAGAGAAGAGACCAGCCATGTGGGATGTGTATGTGTGAAAGCAAAAGTTAATTAGGAGCTTATTCACACAGCCGGAAGAGACCATGTGAACATAAGTTTTTGGGAATTCAGAGAGGCTGTAGGAGGGAGAGAGACTAGACTTCCAATGGGCTGTTGGCTAAGGGGTTGGAGCCAATTTTATTTAAATCTCAAGGGGTGGGCCTGTGTATGTAAATATATAGCAAATCACACAAAGACATATAATAATCAAACAGTTCAAAACCAATGATACAGAAAAATATTTTGAAAGAAACAACATCAAAATGGTGTGTGTCTTGGTCCATTTTGTGCTGCTATAACAGAATACTTGAGACTGGGTAATTCATAATGAATAGAAACTTATTTGTTTGTGAATCTGCAAGCTGGGAAGTCTAAGATCAAGGTGCTGGCATCTGGGAAGGGCCTTCTTGCTGTGTCATATCATGGCAGAATATGGAAGGATAAAGAGAGAGTAAGAGGGGGGTGAATTCACCATTTTATAAGAGCACCAATCCCATCCATGAGGATAGAGCTCTCATAGCATAATCAGCAACTAAAATTCCCACCTCTTAGAACTGTTACAATGGCAGTTAAATTTCTTATCTTTCCTTTTTTTTTTTTTCCACTTTTTGAGACAGGGTCTTGCTCGTCATCCAGGCTCAGTGTAGTGATGTGATCATGGCTCACTGCAGCTTCAACCTCCTGGGCTCAAGCAATCCTTGCACCTCAGCTTCCCCAGTAGCTGGGTTTATTTGCAAAACAAGAGGAAATACATCCAAAGTAAGTAGAAATGTAGCAATAATAAAAATGAAAGTTGAAATAAATGAAATAGAAAATAAGCAGACAATAACATTAATGAAATCAAAGCTCTTCTTTGAAAAGATCGAATTGAAATATGTTTAACCAAACTGATCATGTAAAAGACAGAGAATATACAAATTACAAATATTAGGAATAAAAGATTGGACATCACTACAATCCTACAAATATTAAAGAATAACAAAGAAATATGATTAACAACTCTGGGTCAATATACCTGAAAACTTAAATGAAATGGACAAATATCTTAAAAGACAAAATTACCCAAATTGGCATAAAAAAGTAGAAAATGTGAACTGTCTTTAATTTGTAAAAGAAATTAACTTCACACTTTAAACTTTCTCAAAAAGAAAACTCTAGTGTAGAGTGTAGGTAATAGATAAGGAGGATATACTTCCAAGCTCATTTTATCAGGTCAGTCTCACCATGATAATATAGACAAAGATATTACAAGAAAACTACAGATCAATATCCCTAATGAATTTGGATTCATTAACATCCTTTAAAACATTAGCAAAAAAACAAACAAACAAAAATACCAGCAATATATAAAAGGGAGAATGCATCATGACCAAGTGTGGCTTATCCCAGAAAAGTAAAGTTAGTTTGACATTTGAAAATCAAAAAATTTAATTAATCATATTAATAGTCTAAACACAGAAACAAAAAGATCATCTCAATAGATGCCCCCCCACCCCCGACTGCCAAGCATTGATAAAAATTTAGCATTTATTCATGATTTAAAAGTTATCGACAGGCCAAGCACAGTGGCTCATGTCTGTGGTCCCAGGACTTTGGGAGGCTGTGGTGAGAGGATCACTTGAGTCCAGAAGTTCGAGACCAGCCAGGGTAACATAGAGAAACCCTGTTTTTACAAAAAATGAGCCGGGTGTGGTGGTATGCATCTGTAGTCCCACGTACTCAGAAGGCTGAGGTGGAAAGATCACATGAGCCCAGGAGATTGAGGCTGCAGTGAGCCATGATCGTGACACAGCACTCCAGGTTAAGTGACTAAGATCCTATCTCAAAAATATAAAAAAAGCTCTCAGCAAACTAAGAAAAGAAGGGAACTTCCTCAATCTCATAAATTGCATATATAAAAAGCCTACAGATAGTATACTTGATGGTAAAACACTGAATGCTTTGCCTGAAAATCAGGAACAAGGTAAGGATGCCTTTCTCATCACTTCTGTTCAACATTGTACTGGATGTTCTAGTCCGTGCAATAGGGCAAGAAAAGGAAATAAAAGTATTAAAAGTATACAGAATGGAAAGGAAAAAATAAAACTCTTTATTTGGAGAAACATGATTGTATACATAGAAAATCAAAAGGCATCTATAAAATGCTACTAGGACTAATAGGTTTTTAAACAAGATCTCAGTGCACAGGACTAATATTAAAAAAGAATTATATTTAAATACCCTATTAATGAACCACTAACAATGAAATATCATTTATAATATGAGGGCACTTCAAAATGTTCATGGAAAAAATTGAATTTAATGATAAAGATAAAGAATATAAACTTTATTTCTCAACATAAGCTCCATCCAGGTCAACCATGGTTGTAAGTGATGACACCAGTCATTTAATCCATCCCTAAAAAAACTGGGAGTCCTGGAAATTCAACCATGTCTTTTTTACATGATTAACTGAAGAAAAATGGGAGCCCTTTGCAGATTTTTTAAGATTAGGAAACAAAAAGAAGTTAGAGCCAAATTAGGACTGTAAGGTGGATGCCTAATGATTTCTCATTGAGAGTCTTACAAAATTGCCCTTGTTTGATGAGAGGAATGAGCAGGAGCATTGTTGTGGTAGAAAAAGACTGTCCAGTAAAGCTTTACCAGGAATTTTTCTGCTAAAGCTTTAGCTAACTTTCTCAAAACACTCTTGTAATAAGCAGGTATTATTGTTCTTTGACTCTCTAGAAAGTCAACAAGCAAAATAAGCATCCCCAAAAACTATTCCCATGACCTTTGCTCTTGGCAGGTTTGCTTTTGCTTTGACTGGACCACTTCCACCTCTTGGTAGCCATTGCTTTGATTGTGTTTTGTCTTCAGGATTATACTGGTAAAGCCATATTTTATCTCCTGTTACATTCTTGAAAGAAATGCTTCAGGATTTTTATCTTACTTGTTTAAAATTTCCATTAAAAGCTCTGCTCTTGTTTGCAGTTGATCTGGGTACAATGGTTTTGGCACCTGTTGAGTGAAAAGTTTGCTTCACTTTAGTTTTTCGGTCAGATTGTATAAGCTATGAGATTTGAGTTTTCTATGGTGTTGGCTGTTGTTTCTCCTGCTAATTGTCAGGCCTCTTGAATGAGGGTATGAACAAGGTGAATTTTTTCCTTGCAAATTGGTGTTAAGCTCTGTCATTGCAGGCTTCATCTTTTACATAATCTCTTCGCTTCTTAAAATGAGTTACCCATTTGTAAACTGCTGATTGCTTTGGAGCATTGTCCCCATAAATTTTTCATAAAGCATCAGTGAATTTATCATTGTTTTATCCAAGCTTCTCCATAAATTTGATGTTTGTTCTTGCTTCAACTCTAGCAGAATTAATGCTACTCTGCTAGGGGCTTTTTTCAAACTGATGTCTTATCCTTCTTAGTGACTCAAACTACATCCTGTTCATACATGTTATAACAAGTTAGTATGAGTTCATCTGGGGGCAAAAAAATATAAGATTCATACATAGTTTTTTTTCAAAATATGCATATTTCTATGAACTTGTTGAAGATCCCTTGCAGCATCAAAAAGCATAAAATATGCAAAGAACCTGGAAGAGTCAAAATCATTTTGAAAAAGAACAAATTTGGAAAATTTACACTTCCCAATTTTAAGACTTTCTAAAGTTATAGTAATCAAGACAGTGTGATATTTGTGTAAGGATAGACATATGGTTCAATGGAAGGAATAGAGAGTCCAGAAATAGACACAGAGTTTTCACAAAAGTTCCAAAGTAATTCAATGGGGAAAGGATTGTCTTTTCAACAAATGGTGTTGAAACAACCATATATCCATTTAGAAAAAAAATGAACATTGACTCTTTCCTCTCACCATATGCAAAAATTATTTTGAAATAGATTATAGACCCAAATGTAAAAGATAAAGCTATAAACTTTAAGAAAAAAAAGTATTAACAAATCTTCACTGTCTTAAAGTAAATAAAATTTCTTAAATATGTCACAAAATGATGTGAACTTCTTCAAACTGAAAATATTGACTTTTCAAAACACATTGTTAAGAAAATGAAAATGCAAGTATATTTGTTGTATAAAAAATTTCTCCAAAACCTAGTAGCTGAAAACAATAAATTTATTTCTCACAGTTTTTGCAGATCTGGAAAATATGAATTTCTTGGCTGGCTACTTCTGGCATAGAGTGTTACATGAGATTGCAGTCATCTGAAGACTTGTGAGGGATTGGAAGATCCATGTCCAAAGTGCCACATATGGCTAGCAAATTGCTGCTGTCCATTTATCAACAGGCCTCTGTTCCTGTCTGAGGCAAGACAGCAAGGCAAGAGCCTTGCTAAAGGACTGTCTTTCTCTAGAGCAAGAGTAACCCACGGGGGCAAGGTGGGAGCTGCAATATCTTTTATGATGTAGCCTCAGAAGGCATGTACTATCACTTTTAAAATTTTCTCTTGGTCACACAGGTCAGTCAATAGGGGAAAGTACTGTATAAGAATGTGTACCTACCAGGAGTCCAGGATCAATGGGGTCCATCTTGGAGGCTGACTGCCATAGCAAGCCATAATCTGGGAGAAAATATTCACAACACCAATATCTGACAAAGGATATTATAAAAGACAGAATATACACACCCCAATAATAAGAGGGAAAAAAAATTTTGAAGTAGACAAAAGGTTTGAACAGATACTTCTGTTCAAATACGCACATACCCCTTAAGGACAGGAAAAGATACTCAACATGACTAGTTATTAGGAAAATGCAAGTTTAAATACAATAATTAAAAACTAGAAAGGATTACCAAGCATTGGAGAAGAAATGGAGCAACTGGAACTCTCATATATTGCTGGTGGAAAAGGAAATGGTACAACCACTTTGGAAAAACGGTTTGGCAATTTATCATAAAGTTAGATACATGACCATATGACCTAGCTGTTTTACTCTTAGGCATTACTTATCCAAGAAAAATGAAAACATACTTCCACAAAAGGACTTTTAACCAAATGTTCATAGAATCTTTAGTCATAATAGCCAAAAACTGGAAACAAACCAATTATCTATAAATAGGACAAAAATAAACAAATTGTAACAAATCCATACAAGGGATCACTACTCCACTAGAAAAGAAGAAATAACTACTACACACAATATTATAAATAAATCTCTAAAATGTGCTGAGCTGAACCACAAACAAGAGAGTATATACTGGATGATAACATTTATATCAAATTCGTGAAAAAGTGGGCCTAGGTGCAGTGGCTCCCACCTGTAATCCCAGTACTTTGGGAGGCTGAGGCAGAGGGATCACCTGAGGCCAGGAGTTTGAGACCAACCTGGGCAACACTGCAAGACCCCCATCTCAACAAAAAGTTAAAGAATTAGCTGGGCCCTGTGGCACATGCCTGTAGTCCCAGTTTCTCGAGGGGCTGAAGCGGGAGGATCCCTGGAGCCCAGGAGATTGAATCTGCAGTGAACTGTGTCCATGCCGTGGCATTCCAGTCTGAGTGACAGAGCGAGACCCTGTCTCAAAAATAAAAAATGAAATTATGTAAAAAGTAGAATAATTCTACAGTGACAGAATGCAAACAAATAGTTACCTAGGACCAGAAGTAGTTGGGGGGAGGGAGGGCTTGAGAATACTTTTTACTGTGTTGGAAATGTTCTGTATAATGATTGTGGTAAATTTACATTGGTATATTCATTTGTTAAAATATATTGAACTGTACCATTTAAATGAGGTTAGTTTAGTGTATATAAATAATACCTAATTCAAGTCAATTAAAAAAGAGTATCGCAAAAATATAAATAAAAAGGCTAGGCATGGTGGCTCATACCTGTAATCCCAGTGTTTTCGGAGGCCAAGGTGGGAAGGCCTGAAGTTCAAGACCAGCCTGGGCAAAATAGTGAGACCCTGTGTCTACAAAAATATTTTTTAAATAAAAACAAAGAGTATCACTAAAGGCTGAGTGTGGTGGCTCACGCCTGTAATCCCAGCACTTTGGGAGGCTGAGGAGGGCAGATCACCTGAGGTCAGGAGTTCAAGAGCAGCCTGGCCAATTTGGTGAAACCCTGTCTCTGTAAAAATATTTTTTAAAAAAGACTATCACCAAAAATAATTTCCTTCATAAGATATAACTACTTTAACTACTTCATAAGATATAACTTAAAGTAGTTATATCTTTATATCTTTATAACTTATAACTTATAACTTATAACTTATAACTTATAACTTTATAACTTATAACTTAACTACTTTAAGTTATATCTTATGGGCTGGGAACCCCTTAAGACTCATATACCTGATTACTTTGTTTGGTACTTATAGGAAGGTAAATAGGAGAGAGGACCCTCAGAAGAGGAGAGGACTGCCTCATGTTAATATTTCACTCCTTCAAAGGAGTTCTTAAGGAAGTCCAGATTGTCCTAAGGGGCACTGCTCTCTGTGTTATCTGAGTTTTGGGCTTTGACCAGCAGAGGAGAATGAGAACGAGGAGAATACTAAAGAGCATTAAGCAACAAGCACTTGTGTGACAGGATCATTTGTACACTAAGCCTCAGTGACACGCAATTTACGCATGTAACATACCTGCACATGTACCCCCTAAACCTAAAAGTAAAAAAAAAGAAGAAGAAGAAAAAAAAAGAAACAAGTGAAGCAGCATTTAAACGAGTAATGGAAATGAAGCAAACCCCACCTCTTTCATAAGTACAGGTGAAATAGGAAACTTTTAAGGTGCAAGGGAAAATAGGTTGGGGCAGAGTTTCTCAGCTTCAGCATTAATGCCATTTGGACCTAATCATTCTTTGTTTTTTGAGTGGGGTGATGGGGCTGTCTTGTGCACTGTAGGATGTTTAGCACCATCCATCACATCTACCCACTAGATGCTAATGGAACATCCAAACTACCCCCGTGAAAAATGTTGTAAGCCATTGCCAAAGTCCCCGGGATACGAAATGGTCCCAAGTTGAGAACAACCGGATTAGTGTATTTGTTATCTATTCTTGGATAGCAAATTATCTCCCAAATTTAGTGACTTAAAACAGTAAACACTTATTTTACAACTATAGTTGCTATGGGGTAAGCATTTGAGAGTAATTAAGTTGGGTGGTTCTGGTTCAAGGTCTTTGATGAGGCTGTAGTCAAGATGCAATCGTCTGAAGGCTTGACTTAGGCTGAAGGATCCACTTCTAAGATGTCTCACTCACATGGTGATGGCAGCAGGCCTCAGACTCTGGTGGTTGTTGGCAGGATGTCTCAGTTCCTTGCCATGTGGGTCTCTACATAGGGTAGCTTCCTGTGTCTTTGCCATATGGCAACTGAGAATGATCTGAGAGAGAGTGGGAGAAGTTCCATGATGCCTTTCTATGGCCTGGTCTTGGAAGTGACACACTGTCACTTTTGCTATATCTATTAACAACAAGTTACTAATTACAGTCTACATTCAATTTGGAAGAGAATTAGGCCCCACTGGTTTATTTTTTAAAATTTTATTTTATTTTGTTTTATTTTTTTTGAGAGGCAGTCTTGCTCTATTGCCTAGGATGGAGTGAAGTGGCGCGATCTTGGCTTACTGCAACCTCTGCCTCCTGGCTTTTTTATTTATTTATTTTTTTTGAGACAGAGTCTTGTTCTCACTCTGTCACCCAGGCTGGAGTGCAATCATGATGCACTCATGACTCACTGCAGCCTTGACTCCCTGGGCTCAAGTGACCCTCCCACCTCGGCCTCCAGAGTAGCTGGGATTACAGGTGCACACCACCATGCCCAGCTAATTTTTTTATTTTTAGTAGAGATGAGGTCTCACTGTGTTGTCCGGGCTGGTCTCAAACTCCTGGGCTCAGGCAATCTTCTCACCTTAGCCTCCTAAAGTCCTGGGATTATAGGCATGAACCACTGTGCCTGGCTAGGCTTCACTTTTTGAGGGCAGAAGTATCCACATATTTGAAGACATATTTTATTAAGAAATTAAAAAAAAATTCTTAAAATTATAATAGAGACAGGGTGTATTAGTCTGTTCTCATGCTGCTAATAGAGACATACCCGAGACTGGGTAATTTATAAAGGAAAGAAGTTTAATTGACTCATAGTTCAGCATTGCTGGGGAGGCCTCACGAAACTTACCATCATGGCAGAAGGGGAGGCAAGCACATCTTTCTTCACATGGTGGCAGCAAGGAGAAGTGCTGAGCAAAAGGGGGAAAAGCCCCTTATAAAACCATCAGATCTTGTGAGAACTCACTCACTATCACCAGAACAGCATGAGAGTAACTGCCCCCATGATTAAATTATCTGACACTGGTCCCTCCCACAAAACATGGATATTATGGGAACTACAATTCAAGACAAGATAAGGGCTGGGGATGGTGGCTCATGCCTGTAATCACAGCACTTTGGAAGGTCGAGGCAGGAGGGTTGCTTGAGATCAGGAGTTCGAGACCAGCCTGGCCAACATGGTGAAATCCCATCTCTACTAAAAATAAAAATAAAAAAAAAATTATCCAGGCGTGGTCGCATGTGCCTGTAATCCCAACTACTCGGGAAGCTAAGGCAAGAGAATCACTTGAACCCAGGAGGTGGAGGTTGCAGTGAGGCAAGATCACACCACTGCACTCCAGCCTGGACGACAGAGCAATAATTCATCTCAAAAAAAGAAAAAAAAAAAAAAAAGATGAGATTTGCGTGGGGACAGAGCCAAACCATATCACGGGGTTTTGTCATGTTGGTCAGGCTGGTATCAATCTTAAGTGATCCAACTGCCTTGGGTTCTCAAAGTGTTCGGATTACAGGTGTGAGCCACAGTGCCCAGCCTGTAGACATATTTTAAAACGACTACAGTTAGAGAACAATTTTTTAAACAAATAGTTTGGGGGAATACCCTGAGCTATTTTTAAAAGAATAAAAGTTAGATCATCATTGTGAAATAAATCTTAGAAAATTAAATTATTTAATGAAAAAAGTAAAATGTCAAACAAGTAGAAAAAAGTAAAGACAGATGAATTATATGATCTCAGGATGCGAAAGATGTGTGAAGTAAAAAATAATGAAAGAATACAAAAATGGAAACGATCAATAGTTTCACAAAGGATTAATATCTACATTGCATGAAGCACCCTTTTGTGAAATACCTCAGTAAGAAAATGGACAAAGGACAAAAAATAAGCTACCATACATACACATATGAAAACATACCGTGATGATTTGGGCACATGGAAGAAGGACAATCACATACTGTCATGTAGTGCTGTGGGAAAATTGATAACCATTTTGACAGTAATTTCTTGATTATGTGCCATGCTCATGTGTTAAGTAGCTCTATGCGTGTTACTTATAGCAATTTATATATATTTTTTACTACAACATGTGGAAGCACTATACTAATTTTCTAGTTGAAGTACAATTAGATTAAGCAATTGGCCAAATCTCTCAGCTCATAGGTGGCAGGTGGATCAGGTTATCCATTAGGCACAGTAGACACAGTGCCTCAGGCTTATAACACTTTCTGGGGCCCACAAAAATGTTTTAATTTCTTTTAAAATCAGAGGGCAAAAAATTGAATGTTTAGGTCAAAGAAAATATTTTAATGTATAATGGTAATATCTTTGTCTTCATACCAATGCAGTAATAAAATATATTATGTAGTATTATTTTATGGAAGATGAGGCCCACACAGGTATAACACCTAGGGTCTGTGAAAGTCAGAATGTGGCACTGGGTGGCAGAGCTGTGTTTTGATGCTGGGTGATGTGATATCTGAGCCTATGCTCTTTCTGGAAGGTAGTTGCCAATATGTTTCAAAAGGGCTAAACTTGTTCACACTTTTTTATTACTTTTAATAATTTATCTAAGACAGTGAATAAGGACATGAACAATGGTTATGGAATGCTATTTATAATATTGTTCATTTGAAACCAAACAGATAGTCAATAACAAAAGGCTGGTTCAATATTGGGTGTCAGCTTGGGGACTAGGTGAGTACTAAGAGCTTCTGAACAAGGGAGGAAATTGAGCAATGAGGGGAGCTGAAAGTGAAACACAGAGCAGGAAGCAGGAGGCCTGCATGCATTCTAGAGAAGGAGTCCAGATCCCTGCTGGGGAATACCTAAGGAATTTCTGAGGACGTGTTTGTAAGCACATTATTGCATTTATTTAAAGGGACCGGACAGCAAAAGAAAAAGATGAAGAAAATCTTAGTACATGTTTAAAGCAGAGATGAGTGGGCACATATGGGGCACTGTGAAGAGTTTTTCATAACAGGAGAGACAGAGCATGTGAGCATCCAAGGAACCTTGAATATCACGTTAATCTTTGTCAGGAGAGGTCCGAAAAGCCAACGAATGATTTTAAGCAGTGGAGTGACACAGATGTATATTTTCGAATGATCTTTGTGTATATAATGTGCACCAAATTCAAGTGTGAAACCAGAGGGCAAGAACTAACGCATGGAGGTAGGCGGGAATGTGCATTGTTCAGTCAAGATATACTTGTTGAATTCTGTACACACTGATGAAGCGATGGCGCTGTTTTTGGTACACAGTTCAAAAGCTCAGTTAAAATGGAAGGGGAGAGAGAACCACAGGTTTTAAAATCAAGGGAAAATTTAGGACCTAGTCTTAAAACGTGATTATGCTGAGAGTTGTAGGCAGTGGAGACAGTGAAGTTAAAGATGTGCCAAGGACCGCTCACAATGGGGAGCAGGCAGTGGAGAGGGGCAGGGGCATCTGGCCCTAGATAGAAGGAAAACTAGTAAGTCTGGGTGTGGACGTAGATATAATCTATCGGGGTTGGTCAGGTGGTTGGGAAAGCTGTAGAAATCCATGCCTGAAGGCTTCTGCTTCTCTGAAGTAGAAACCGGGTCACCTGGTAAGTAATGTGGTCTCACTGACTTCTATTTGCATATTGACCTTTCTTCTAAAAGCAATACATATAACCAACAGCACTTTTCTAAACCAGTTGACTTTTCTGTAAAATGCAGACAGTAGACGCTACTTTATCAGATTGTTGTGTGCGTTAATTGTGCCGACACGTGTACTTGGTCAGTAAGTATCTGCTTTATCACTGGGCTGATGTGAGTGAGGACTAGGTGGTGGGACTTCCACAGATGAACGTTTTGATTAATAAAAAACGGACTGAAAGTCTTCGGGTATGACCAACGGCTAAATGCAATTATTTACTCTTGCAATGGGTTCGAGATCAAACACTCAGGTCACGGAGTATTTATGAACAGCCTACTTTTGCCCCCGGACTTTAAGAAGTCCTATTCCGGGCTCGACCGCCGACCGGAAAGTCAAATTAACAGTACCCAGAGCGCGTTTAGAGCGGCCTCTGCCCAAATCTCAGCGGCGGCCCCGCCCCTTCCACAGGTTCAGGCCCCGCCCCTCCCTGCTATTGGCTGCCCCTCCCCCTCCGCTCGACCGCTCGGAAGACCAGGAGGAGCGGAGTTTTCCTAAGGCAGCATCCGAGCGCCCTCGCTGCGCATGCTCGGGGGAGGCGGATTCCGGGTCCGGAGTTGGAGGCTTTGGGCGGCCACGGCGTAGCGCGCTGTGCCGGGGCCGGCGGGGAGGCGCGCGCTCGGGGCGCGGCGCCGGCGACGCGGCCACGCGGCGCGCTCCCGAGGAAGGGAGGTGTGGGGTCGGTTGGGGGTGGCGCGTGGCCGGGGTGGGGGTGGGGGGAGGGTCGGGTGTCGGCGAGCTCCGCGTGCGGGTTCCGAGTGGCTGCTGGCGGCCTGGGCTGCCGGGGCCGACGCCTGGGTGGCTGCCGCCGCCGCGCCTGCTGCGAGATGGCGATCTTGGGCGCGGAAGGGTGAGGGCGCCCGCCGCAGGAGGAGGTGCCGCTGCCGTGGCCGCCCGGCTGCCGGGAGCCGACAGCTTCGCGCCGGGTAAGGACGGCGCGGCGCGGGGCTGGGGGTGCGGGCGCCCAGGGCGGGAGGGGGCACGGGCCCGGAGCCTTGGTCGCGGTGCTGGGCGCCCGGCGCCGTCCGCCTCCGGGCTGGACCCTCCTAGGGGCCGTCGGGGGACGGTCCGCCCTACCTTGGCTACCTTCTCCAGCCAGGGAGTCGGGAGTTTTCTAGGGTGGGGTCACGGGTCTTACCCGGAGTTCGTCCTGGCACAGGCCTGTGCCAGTGATCCTGGAGCGGAGCGAAGTGTTTCCGTGACTCTGCAGCTGCAGTTCTTAGGCTTTTTTAGCCTTCTCTTCGCCTTCCTCCACCTTTCCCTAACACCTCCCTCAAAACACAAATATATAGACTCATTGCCCGTGCCCTGACTTTAACCCCAATTTCAGCGTTGCAAACCAAGGACTCCAGCCTTGGAACGTCTTTTTCTGACATGTTTTTATCACTCCCCGTTCTTCACCGACTCTGCAGCTCCCCATCCCCCCCCCCCCCCATCGCAACCCCCACCTCCACCTTTTGTGACCTGGTAGGTTTCAGTGACCTTGCAGATTTTACCAGTCCTTATCTTGTCTGTGACTTACAGACTCTCCTTTCATCTTCGTGTCCTTTTTTTAAAAAATTTAATTTTGTAGTTTGCTCCTTACCTTTACGACCTTTAAATGATCAGTCTTGTTCACAGTCCTTTCTTTGCTCTGTCGATTTGGAGTTTTCTTTGCTCTGGTAAATATATGAAACCTTCATTACCAAAGAAGAGTAGTGTCTGTTATAATTTTGACATTTTTACTCTTCCAGAATAAAAATATTTTTCAGGGGCTTGATTTTGCTTTCTTTTTCTATTTGATAAGTTTAACAAAATTTTGTGTGTGTGTAGGTTAATGTAGAACAAGATTTTGTGTTTCTGCTTTAAAATGTTACTAGTAATAGTAGTGGGGAAAAAAATCATGTCCAAAGTTATATTTGTTTTCCCCATTTGGTGTTTTTACCTGAAATACTTGGTTTACAGTTACCTGCATTTTTTTTTTTTTTAAAAACAAGAGTTCATGTGTAAATCCACTTTACCTGCCTCACCAAATCTGTGTGTATTACGCAAGCAAAATGCACCTTTTAAAAAAGAAAGTTATTCTTTTATTGTGTGACTTGTTTTTAACCATCAAGTAGTAAATTAGCTGCGACTAGAAATGATCATTTTTTATAAATGGTTAGTATGTTAAAAAATGGAAAGTGTAGTGGCCAAGTGTTGGGAGCTACTCAGATTGGGAATTGTAAAGTATTTGGAATAGTTCTTTGGGACATAGCTTATTAACATTTTCAGATAGTTCTTACCTTAAAATGCGAAACTGCTGGTAAGATCTACATCAGGGTTTTGAAAAGCAATAATTACGAGCTACCGGCATAATACAGGATGTCACAGATAAAGTCTCTGCCTTCAAAGAGATGGTAATCTTTGCTCTTTACCCCACGGTGGCTGAAATTTCCTTTACTTCCTTGTACAGTTGTTAAGCATTTACTGCATAATTGTGGGAGGTATTTTGGGGAATACAAAGATGAACCGTTTAGCAGTTTCTGCCTTCACACTAATTAGGTAGATAGTGCTATACACAAATGCCCTATTTGTCTTTTAATATATAAGTTTCATAAATGGTACCAAAATCCTCTCAGAAGTAAACTTAAAAGAGTAGAGCTCAGATCTTACTTGGCAAGGTAGGGATAAGAGGGTTAGTTTGTAGAGCTTATGGCTTCTGAAATCATGGTTTTGAAGGACGATTATGACTTTGGATAGGCAGGAAAGGTAATCCAAGCAAAGAGGTATCTCTAAGAGAGCACAGAGTTCCTATTTAGGGAGAGGCATGTACTTATGTTTGGGTGGAACATAAGCTTATTTGTACCAGGATAAAGGATGATAAAACTTGAAGGGAAAATTTGAACTAGTTTATGGGCTGTTTTTAATGCCAGGCTTATGACCTTGGATTTACTAGGTGATGGGGCTTCCACAGATGATTTTGAGTTGGGAGTGAAACAATTTGAACACTTTGTTTCAGAAGGATTAGTGGGATAGCGGCCTGTAGTGTGAATTGAGGTAGGGAGAACCTGGAGGTTGAAAGACCTCCCAGTTGTTGTAGTCATGGGTAGTGAGGATCTGAGCTGTGGTGCAGGCGAATGGAAAGGAAGAAAGGAAGTCGAATAGCCAAAATGGATGAGAGGGCAAGTGAAGAAAGTAAAAATAACTGATTCTGATTCAGGTTGGTTGGGAGAACAGTGGTACCATTTTAAGCAAGATCATGAAGCTTTACCCTCAGCATGTGTGTGCTACTTTACAACTTTTTGGGGATTACTAATTCTTGGTAAAACTGATGCTGGCCTGGAAATTTTCCATATGTGCCTATGCTTCGTGGATATAATTTTAGCGGAGTCCATGGGCCACCTGAAGGTCATCCACAACACTCATCTCGGAATTACTTGGAGCTTTTTTCTATTTTCGAGGCAGGATTTCTTTCACTCCTGTCCCTATGGTTGGAGTGCAGTGGTGCCTTCTGGGTGCATTGCAACCTCCGCCTCCCAGGCTCAAGAGATTCTCCTGCCTCAGTCGCCTGTGTAGCTGAAACTACAGGCACTTGCCACCACACCCGGCTAATTTTTGTATTTTTTTTTTTGTAGAGACGGGGTCTCACTATTTTGCCCAGGCTTGTGTTGAACTCCTGAGCTCAAGCGATCAGCCTGCCTTGGCCTCCTAAGTGCTAGGATTACACTTAGGGCGTAAGCCACCATGCCAGGCCTACTGAGAGCTTTTTAAAATAGTAGAACCTTCAGATTCCTCTATGTATTGATAAGAACTCTTACTGTAGAGATATGCCATATATATACAGAGACACAATATTACATTTGTGTTGTGGTTTACAGTTTACAGAGAATTTTGACTAATGTTATTTACTATTATATTACAGAATAAACTGGCCCGGGAGTTTAAATGATTTGCCTGAAGCATTATTCAGCTGGTGGGTAAAGTGGAATCAGGAGATTGTTGACAATGATGGTTTTCTTTCATGTATGAAGATAATACAATGGCTTTACCATCAATTAAATATAGTTACTGCCTTTAAGTGACCTTGTCAGTAAGACTAGATGATCCCACAAGATTCCTTCTAGTTTTTAACATTTTGTGATTCTTGGGTCCTAGACTTTCGTCAGAGTATCTGCCCTCCTTGTTTAATATGTGCATGAGAGCTGGTGAGTCTAAGGGATGAATTGGGTAGAGAAGAGCAGTTAGCAATATCAGATGATTTATTTGGATTGTTACTTTCTTTGTATGTCTCACTTTGGGCTGGGGAGTAGGAAGGAGAGAGGTGATGCAAGTGAAATAAGAAACTTTAAGAACTTCATCGGGAGGCTGAGGCAGGAGAATGGTATGAACCTGGGAGGCGGAGCCTGCAGTGAGCCGAGATGGCGCCACTGCACTCCAGCCTGGGCGACAGAGCGAGACTCTGTCTCAAAAAAAAAAAAAAACAAAAAAAAAACCAAACAAAAAAAACTGTATCTTCTCTATTCATTTATACCTTCAGAATACTCTTTTCTTTCAGGAAGGCTTTATCAAATAAAAATGGAGACTTTACAAACTAAATGAAAATTCCTATTCAATTTTTTTTGAGTGGATTAAGTAGCTAGCTAGTATGGTTAAAACATAGTGTGATTGGTAAACAGTTGACCTTTCTGTACCTATAAGATTATCTCCCTGGTAATAGGTTAGCATGTTATTGCATGTTAATACACTTTGATTTCATAATTATTAGAAAGACTGGGTTTTTTACTCTTTGTATAAAAATGTGATACGATTATAATGAGCAGTGGAAAATCCAATAAATTGCCCTTTATAATGGTATCCAAGGAACTAGTTAATAATACTTAATGGAGGAAAAATGATACAAACATACATAGATGAATTTTACTGTTTTTGCTGGCATTAAGAAGAGTGTTATAGCTTATGTTAGTATAGCATTTCACATTTGTAAATAATAACTATATTTATCGTTTGGTTCTCATGACAGCTTATAAGTAAGTGTGTTAGTAATAATTGCTTTATATTTTATTTTATTTTATTTATCTATTTTTGAGACAGGGTCTTGCTTTGTTGCCCAGGCTGGAGTTTAGTGGCGCAGTTATGGCTAAACTACAGCCTCGACCTCAGCCTCCCAAGTACTTGGGACTACAGGTGTTTGTCATGACACCCAGCTAAATTTTTAAATTTTTTTGTAGAGATGGGGTCTTGCTGTGTTTCCCCAGGCTGGCCTCTAACTCCTGGACTCGTGGCCCTCCCACCATGGCCTTCCAAAGTGCTGAAATTACAGGCATGAGCCACCGCTTCTGGCCAGTCATTGCTTTTTAGATAAATATGCTGAGGCTAAAAAAAAAAGTTTAAAAAGTTACATTTCCAGAGTGGCTAGTTAGTGGCCACAATTAGAACTAAAACTAAAACCTTATTTTTGTTCCTATGTCAGTATTCTTTTCCCACCCGACTTCTTGCTCTTCATGTACAATGGAACATTAGTTAAGAGCTGTATGTGAAGGATTTGAATTTACCTGTTTGGATTGTGTTAAACTTTTGTACCGGGTAGAGGTGAACTTGTCGGTTTTTTTCCTTTGTATTAAAATGGTAATCTCACTGCAGTGGCTACTGGTAGGTGATATTTAAATTTGTAAGCATTGTACCACAGAATAGTTATTCTGTCAAGGATAAAGCAGAAGTTGATTTCTTTTTTTTTTTTTTTTTATTATACTTTAAGTTCTAGGGTACATGTGCATAACGTGCAGGTTTGTTACATATGTATACTTGTGCCATGTTGGTGTGCTGCACCCAACAACTCGTCAGCACCCATCAACTCGTCTCTTATCTGGAAAAGTACATTGGTGAAATGTAGATATTTATTTTATTTTGCAAATTTTGAATTCTGTTGCTTTTACAGATGAAGTTTGTGTTTCCTTTTTATAAAAGCTTAGTCTTTGAAAATTTGCATTTTTTGAGCATATGAATCAGGATCTAATTTCCAAAATATATATAAAGTGGGTATCCCTAATTCAAAGTTTGAAATGCTCCAAAATGGGAAACTTTGAGCCACCTACATTACTCAACAGAAACACCCTCTGGAGTATTTCAGATTTTGGATATTTGGATTAGGGATACTCAACCTATATCATGATATTTTATTATTTTTGGTATTAGATCATAAGCTCTACCATTGAAACAAACCCAAATATATTAAAAAGCCCTCCTTAGTGGGCACTTCAATTCATACGTTTAAACAACTCTTTTAGAGAATGTATAATGTAAAACCATGTGTCAGATGGTTTTTAAGTTATAAGGAAGACTAGCATTTGTTGATTTAGTCTTGACATTTCTTTCTCTTTTTTTTGAGATGGCGTTTCCCTCTTGCTGTCCAGGCTGGAGTGCAATGGCGTGATCTCGGCTCACTATAGCTTCCGCCTCCCGGATTCAAGAGATTCTCCTGCCTCAGCCTCCCAAGTAGCTGGGATTACAGGCATGCACCACCAAGCCTGGCTAATTTTGTATTTTTACTAGAGATGGGGTTTCTCCTTGTTGGTCAGGCTGGTCTTGAACTCCCGACCACAGGTGATCTGCCCGCCTCGGCCTACCAAAGTACTGGGATTACAGGTGTGAGCCACCACGCCTAGCCTAATCTTGACATTACTTAAACCTGTAGTTCACTCACAGCACATACTGGTGTACCTACTATGTGCCAGACATATTTCTAGGTGCTGGGAGTACAGTGTTGAGATGACAGACATGAAGCCTGTCCTCTTGGAACCTGGAGTTTAGTGGAATCACTGACATTAACAAGGGCATAGGACTTTATCTTCTCAGGTTGTAGTTTTGCAGAGTGTAATTAATTGTACCTGTCCTTTTTCTGGGATTTGAAGAAATTATGCAGAACACACAAGGAACCAGGTAAGCGTAGTTTCAGTTATGTGTTGCTGCGTAGCAAACAGCCCTAAACCAAGTCACTTAAAACAACCATTTTCTTTGTTACAGTTTTGCTTTCCTGAGTTGGGCTCATTTGGACAGGTTTTGCTGGTGATCACTCTGTGGCTGCTTTTCTCTCCATGTAGCCTTTCCAGAAGAGTTGCTGGCCTTACCTGGTAGCTGATGACTTAGGGCTCACAAGAGTACAAAGCAGAAGCAACCAGATCTTTTGTTTTGAGAGGGAGCCTCACTCTGTCACCCAGGCTGGAGTGCAGTGGCTGAATCTCGGCTCACTGCAACCTCCGCCTTCCAGGTTCAGGCGATTCTCCCACCTCAGCGTCCCGAGTAGCTGGGATTACAGGCGTGTACTACCATGCCCAGCTAATTTTTGTATTTTTAGTAGAGGTGGGGTTTCACCATGTTGGCCAGGCTGGTCTGGAACTCCTGACCTCAGGTGATCTGCCCGCTTCGGCCTCCCAAAGTGCTGGGATTACAGGCGTGAGCCAACGCGCCTGGTCTGCAACCAGATCTTCTTAAGGTTTAGGCTTGTAAGGGACACAGTATCATTTCTACCTCATTATACTGGTTAAAGCAAGTCAGAAATCTAGCCCAGGTTCAAGGGTACAAATATGTGAATCCATTTGGGGCCATCAGTGTAACAGATTACCATAAATTTTATTTAAGTATAGCATCAGCTTTATTATACCAGAACAGGACTTCTGGAAAACTGTTTTGAAAGCTGAAGCTTAGACAGCTTACTACTTTCTGCAAATCTGGATTTTGAGTCTGAGCCTGCCACAGGGAAAGCTGAGTCTAAAAAGTGCAAATGACAGCACATCTGGCTTACTACGCAGATGAGAATAGCTGGCACTATCCTTGGTTAGAAAAGAAGAGAACATTTGCGGCCTCTGAGGTTTTTCCTAGTATGCCACCATAATAGGCAGGATTGACTTGCTTTCTACTTGAGGGCAGTGGCATCTAACAAAGTACAGGACCCAATAGTCCACACTGCTCGGAAGTAGTGATTTACCCGATCTCGTGAATTGGAGCAGACAGCATCCCATGCAGAGAATGGGCCACAGATGGGCAGAAATCAATTCCCTCTGCCCTTGTGATTGGATTTGAGACCTAGGGGAGCAGGGTGTCTTCACTATCACTCTGGCCTTGACCAGAGTGAGCAGGCTTTCCCCCTGTGCTCCCAGCCCCAATGGCATTTTCTGTTTGCAATGTCTTGAAAAAGCTTGGGATAAGCTACTCTTCCTTTGAGAGGTGTCATTATAGTGGAGGGAAATCTCTTTCCTTCTAGAGACTGGAATGGAAATCCTCTCTTATGGAAATACAATGAATAAGGTGCTGCTTCTCCTTTCCAAGAACAGGTAGATTCATTGCTTGCTATCTGGGTTTTTTTCGCTTTCTCTCTTAGCCTTATCCATTATTGCTTTATTTTAGTCTCAGCAGTGTTTTTTGTTTGTTTGTTTTTAGTTCATGTTGGCTGCTAAGTAATGCCATGGTTAAAGGTGAAATGAAGAAAATGAGTGTTTAGTTTTTATTACATTATAGCTTCTGAGTGGAGTAGTGAGTGCATTTCATTTTAAGAATTTAGGTTATTAGTGC